TATGCAAATAATCACACTGCAAAAAAAGTACTCACCTAGAAATGGAATGAGGCTAAATTAATTAAAGTTTATAATCCCTCATTTTTACATAATAGTTACATGGCCACAAGTGATGCATAAAAGGAGGAGGGGGGAAAAAAAAATGAAGTGTTTGGCTTCATTAATCAGTTCGTAACTTTACTGATTTAGCTTGCAGAATTTATTCACATGCAGTGCTAGCTTAAAATCCAATAAATTAAAAGTCCAAATCCAAATCCTACCCAAAATACGGAACAAAAGGATCTAATTTTTAATTTATTTAAAAGTTACCTGAAAAGTTTATGAAGGAAACAGAGAATGTGCAGCACTACAAATTTAAGGAAATACGAGAAACTGCATTTTAAAACCACATTCAGGACAGAAAATAACAGAAGGAAGCAGCATTAAGCAGTAAACAAATAAGAGTGTTGCACAAGCCTCTACTAAGGCTTTCTGAACAACCAACCCAACTGTTTCTCACTTCTCATACTTTTAAAGTACCACTCCAAGTTCAGTAAGCATCTTTCCAGGAATCCTTTGGTCTATTCCCAAATAAAGCACATTTTTGTCTCTTTTGCCTGATTATTTTTAAAGCCTCTGTCAGAAATCAGATCTGAATCTATTCTCTGTTAACGTTGCCATTCACACTCCTGAAAGACAGGAGACACAAGACCTCACACCCTACATACTTTATTCAGGCTGCAAACCTCCCTTGGATGGTGCTGGTACCTGCAAGGCCACTCAGATCAAAACAACCCACCTGCCCACACTGATATTTAATAAGCCCAGGCTCTCACCCATCAACATCATTATCGTGTAACAGATATTAAATGACATAAATGTCATACCTAAAATGTGCTTTCAAAGCTGCACATAAAAGTGGAATTGGAGATATGAAGTAAGTTACTACTGCCCTGTTCCTCAGCTGGTTTTTTTGCCCAGTTTGAGGTACACAGAAAGGAAGAGAGAAAAAGGAGCAGGTGTTCTCCAAGTCCTACACCTCAAGAGACCACAACAGATCTATAGAACAGCTCCTCATACTCTGTTCCACATGGCATACATCACTCTACACGTCCCAGGCAGTTTGTAAGCCCTGGATAAACTGCTGAGTAAGATGCAGGTTGATTCTTCACTTGCATGACCTCCAGCAGCTTACTCTCTCCTCTGCATGAATTACTCGGGAAGCAAACTAGCAGAATTCTTAGATATATTAGAGTCCATCTTTAAAAAAAAAAAAAAAAAAAAAAAAAAAAAAAAAAAAAAAAAAAAAAAAAAAAAAAAAAAAAAAAAAAA